GAAGTCATCACATATTGCTGCTTTGCAGTCACCTTTCATGTCTAGATTTTACACACTTTGTATCCTTTGGCATCTGCTGTTTCAGGATGCTGCAACCAAACAACAACAACAAAAGCACATGGCAACCCATGCAGGGACGTTAACAAAAGCACACATCAGCTTTACCTCTGTCTAGATCAATATCTCATAATTACAAGATAAGATCTTGTAATTACAAGATAAGATCTTATAATTATGACATAAGGTGTCAATTTTTTTTTAATTCACAGAATTCAATGTGCCACAGTGGCAAAGAAAAAACTCAGAGGCAAAACCCTGGAGCAGAACCAGACTATGAAATATTTAAAACCATACAAATAATAAAATTGGCTGCATGGAAGCAGATTTCTTCCCCAAAAGTTAAGGGGGGAAACAGGGCTGCAGTCTCAGCCCCACCCTGTTTAACTTTTATACTGATCAATTAGGAAAATCACTTCAGCAGTCAGATATCCCTGGTCTCAGCCTTTCTGGCACAAAAACTAAATGCTTACTTTTGCAGATGATCTAATATTGTTAGCTCTGTCTAATGAAGCAATACAACATCAACTGAATCACCTGCAAAACTTCTGTCACACCTGGGCCCTAACGGTTAATCTGGAAAAGACTATTATTATTAATTATGGCTTTATTTCCAGAACGGACCCAGGTATCTGGGAAACCCAATCAAGTTCCTATTGGGCTCCACTGACAAAGAACACACACACAGCTACACGTATTTGGGACTAAAAATGACCTGAACAGGAAATTTCAATCTTGCCATTAATGATCTCAGAGATAGTGGTAGGACAGCATTCTATGCTATAAAACAGTCTTCAAACATATATATACCCACTAGAATCTGGCACAAAATATCCCAATCTATAATTGAACCAACATTGCTGTATAGTAGTGAAGTGTGGGGTCCTGTAAATCAAGACTTTGAAAAATAGGCAAACACCTAATTGAAGCTCTACACACTGAGATTTGCAAGAGTATACTCCGAGTCCACAGGAACACCCCAAACAATGGATGCCGAGCTGAACCCAGCCAATCCCCTTTTGATTAGAATATAAAAAAGAACAATCTACAAACACCTAAATACACGTTACCCCAACTCCTACCATTACAAGGCTCTCCATTGCCAAGAGGAGAACATCAAGAGGAGTCCTCTCAGCCAGCTGAGGCTCACCACCTCTAACAGCACAACACCTCAGGACAACACTCACATAATCCAGCCTAAACAAATTATCGCTAAAGAAAAAGAAAACATCAACTATTGGGCATCTACCACAAACCTCCAAAACAAGCTTTAGTGCTATTTGGCCCTAAACAGACAGTACACAAAGACAAACTATCTGACTGCTGTGACAGATCAGAAACTGAGAAAGATACTGACCATGTACAGACTCAGTGATCACAATCTGGCCATAGAGACTAGCAGACACATGCAGATCTGGCTGCCTAGAGAGGACAGGCTGTGTCAGCTCTGTCTTCAGAGACAGGTGGAGACAGATCAAGATTGAAATGAAGACATCAGAAAAAAAGCTCTTTAGAAAATGTACATGTACACTCCAACCACACTAAAATGTATCATCTACTTGGAGAAAATAGTGTCAATGCCTTAGATGCAGCCAGATATGTCAGTGCATGTCACAGCCTAAGAGACAATCAAGGTACCATGTCTGAAGGATTATGTTTGATTCCAAAGGTACCATACTGAAAGTGTTTGGTGGAAACGGGGCTCAACACGACAACATATAACAGCTGGAGTTCATCTCCTCACAGCTCACACTCTGCCTTTTACTTATTCATTCACTTTTTCCTCAGTGTGTGTATGTATGTAAATTTTTGTATTAATGCATTGTTTCTTTAATAATTTAATTACCTATTACATTCCACTGTGCCTTATTGAATTGGCTTTCTTAAATTGTAATTGTGCTTTGGCAACACATATGAAATGTCATGTCAGTAAAGCTTATTGAATTGAATTTAATTGAATTTAATTGAATTGAGATGATAATAATCGAGGAAACACCAAGATGCCAAACCCAAGATAAGAAAACTTATCTTGCCTTTGAGTTTACTGTCAATGGGTGGAAAGAAAAAAGCACTTCATGTTCTATAAATTATTATAATGTTTGTTAAGTCCAATCTGTGGAGACAGTTTAGGGTTAGGGTTAGTGGTAATGTCAATACCACTGGTGGAAAATCTCAGTGACAAAACAAATACAAAATCTATTAACTAATAATCAGTGAACCTGCTGCAGTAAAGGGAAAGGCTCAAAGGAGGGTGTACTTTGATGCCACATATTGCAATGATGGGTAATAAAGTCATAAAAAATGTAGTTTTAATTTGCTGTCTTAAAATGGTTGTTTCCATGGTAATTCTTGCAGGAAAACATCCAAGACAAGTTTCTTTGTTAATTAGACACTTTTTAACTGTATTATGTGAAACACATCCATAAAACCATAATTAGCAGTGTGTGGTGGGACCTTGTGCTTAAGGGTTTTACAGGCTTGTCATGTGCTTTACTCTGTCAGTTCCAATTCCCCACAGCAGACTTATGGTGGTGGGTCAACTTTGCTACCTCTAGATGGAGCTCCTGTGCAGCTTCCCAAACAAGGAAGCCTGAGACAAAATTCAGCTTAATCAAGGTAGATACAACATACCAGAAAGAAAACGGCTGATAAGTTACTTTACCTCCAAAATAAAATAAAAGATTAATGTTGGCCACATTGAAATATCATGCTATAACATTCAGTAACCAGGTAAAAAGCATGATTAAAAATTAAACAAAATAAAATGCAAATATTTTAAACACACTTTCACAAGATAAATAAAAAAGGGGTTTCAGCAACTTCACTTAACCTTGATCACCATTTTGATTATAATCTACTCTTTGAGTAAAAAAGACATTTTGCTTCTGCCTTTTTTAAAGCTTTAAAACATTTTGCACCTTGATGGGTAAGTGAGAAGTATGGACTGCTTGCATTTTCTTCATTGCTTTTTTACTTTAAATTATAAATCTTAGACTTCTGTGTACAATGGTAACAGTAGCAGATTCTAGTAGTAGTGCCTGCATGATCAGCATTTTAAGACCCATGATAATACAACTAGGGGTTTACATGTTCTGGGTTTTCTTCAGGTACTCCGGCTACCTCCCCCAGTCCAAAGACACGTACTCTAAATTGTCTGTAGTTGTGAATGTGAGTGTGAATGGTTGTCTGTCTCTGTGTGTCAGCCCTGTGATAGTCTGGTGACCTGTCCAGGAGGTACTCTGCCTCTCACCCAATGTCAGCTGCGACAGGTTCTTTAGTCTAAGAGAGTCTAAAAATATCAGTAAACATAACAACTCTCTCAGAAATCCAAAACCTAGAGTGCTAAAATTCCAATTTTATTTTTGATGTCATAGGGCATAATGTTCTAGATGACACTGAGAGCACCCAGGGGAATGCTCTGAATATATGGGAACATTTTCTGTTTCACAGCTGAGGGCGCTATAATAGAATAAAGCTCTTTCTGGGTATAAAAAAAGAAAACGAATAAAATCAGGCTCCCATTCATCGTCTATCAAGCAGCTCTAGACTTTCTACCCCTTGACATCACAAGATTCAGACCTTCTTCTCTGGTTCCTGGCTTTGAGAGAGAGTAGCTTGACCCAGCCAGCGTTTGTATGTGGGGCCCATGCAGGTAGTAAATTTACTACTAGTAGTGCTTACTACCGACATGGGCCCCACATACAAGTCATGTTCACAAATATTGGTTGAACTTTCCTGGGCCATGGAAATAATGGAATTCTTAATTTAGGTGGTGTTCTTCATTCAACCCTCTGCCTCTGATTTAAAAAACAAACAAACAAAAAAAAGAAAACAAAACAAATCACAACAACATTTTTTGTTTTTATCAGATGGTAATGATACTTCTCTGTCAGCAGCACATTCTTCCTGCAATGATATATGCGTTTTGCTCCATTTTTAATGACTTAAAAGTAGCAAGATGAATTTTTCACAAACATAATTTGTGTACTTTACATGATGGCAGGCTTTATAGTGGGCTTTACAAGTAACAGTAACAGTCTAAAAAGAGGTGTGAGGTAGTTACAATGGGCACCTGTGCATGCTATTATGATGGGTTCTAGTGTGCTCTAACTTCTAGTCATGAAGCTCGCACACACACACACACACACAGAGTTTTAGACATATATATATATATATATATATATATATATATTACCAACAGTATGTCTTACTGCTGCTTTTATATCTGCTTGCAGATGTACCCAGCTTGTCAGTCTTGAGAGACATTGCACCTAAACTAGCTGCTGTAAATTGTATTGTCTTGTTATATGATTAAACAGAGCCTTTATGATGGACAACATCAACATACATATTACCCAGCAATCATCATTACATATTAAAAACTATGAAAGAAAATAGGCTGTTATTAGTTTCACCAAATTATTTTTTATCGTGAATTATGTTTTTTGTAGTTAATGTAGAATAAGCATAGAATTTGTTATAGATGATACTGTTTTACAAAACCAGAAAACCATGATGGAGATGCCTTTTAGAGCATATGTAGAAAATCACACCATTTTTGATTTAACATGAGCTCTAGGCCTACTTTGAACATGAGTGTTGGGTTTAGAATGATCAAACAGGACTGAAAAGTGGTTTGAAAATATCTTCAACAATTAGGTTTTATCCTTTTGAATACATCCCAATACAGTTAGGTTCTACATTTACACACAAGTAAATTAAAACAGGTGTTAATTATGGTATATTTTGAAAGGACGCCACCGGATATGTGAAAGCGTATATTAAGTCTGTCTTGACTGCGGTCTTACTAATTTAAGTGTCAGTGTTGAGACAAACACAACAGCAGGTCGCGACGTCCCTGTCAACTCCAGGAGGAACTGCCAGGATCTGCGATCAGGAGCGGGGAGGAGCGACATCGAGCTGTATTGCATTCAGGACTCATTTACCGAATCATTTACCGAATCATTCCGACGTTTGTTCTCAATTTATCCGCCGAAAGGCGACAAGTGGCACTTTGGGAGTCAGAGGGGGAAAGGATTTGTGGACTGTATTAAAGCGACTGAGGCTTTCAGTTTCCCAAGTTGGTCCGCGCTCACCTTATCATGGCTTCAACGACTTGTACAAGGTTTACCGATGAGTACCAGCTGTACGAGGAACTGGGAAAGTAAGTTCTCTAATCGCTTTACTAATGTTTTAATAGAAGGTTACAGGAGAGTTTTATCCCGCTGTGCTTTTACTATCTATTTCAATTAATCGAAACCTCCGCTGGAGTCTTAACTGTTACCTGTTCTTACCTTGATTGTGTGTAACGTTAGTTAGTAAGCGCGTGCGGGGCAGGACGTCACGCCAACTCCCATTCAAATGCCTTCAGATTTACGTGTACCTTTTGTTGTCAACGAAAACCGCGAGCCTTAAAAAATGATTTTAAAAAAATGACTCGGTGTTGAGCCCCGAAGCGTTATGATTAATAGGCTACTCCCTATGCTCGTATGTTTGTCTCAACTTTTTTAATCGGTTTCTGCTCGTCTGCGCCCATCAGCGTGTATCTTGGAGGAACAATGTCTTGTCTACACCATACCAATAAAAACAAGTTGATTCTTTTAGGGGAAACATCGGCGAGTGCTTTGAAACAAATGCCGAATTTAAAAGTGCCATATCACAATCTGCCTGTAATCTGAATTCATGCTCTAGCATCCATTTATCTCTGGCCACGTGCCAGACAAGTAAAAACAAGCAGAAATTTGGATGGAATTCGGTGTTCGTGTCATTAGCAGCGCACACAAGGCAGTAGGGAAGCCTTTACGGGAGACCTGTCACCTGTGCTGCTCTCAGTCCACTGCAGTGAACCGAAGCCTGCCTTGAGCTAACACCATGATGGTAACCTTATGTATAGGCCCATAAGAAACCCAGTGTTTCTCAGTAATTTGGGCAGTTTGTACAAGTTTCCGCCCTTTTTTCAAAATGCGAAGGGTTGAAATTCCCCAGTGGTGTGTCTGTGGCACCACACACACACACACTACAGCGCATTCACACATTTTTTGTTTCTCCAACAACGACAACCACTGTATGTTTTCTGCAAAATGTAGAACACAGCTAAATATGTACCTCCACACCACTTAAATCTTGGCTAGCCTATATATTAATACAGGTAAACGCAGTCTTTGAGTTTTGGGAAGGCGTGGCGCTCCTTTTTGACCTGGCTTCAGGGTAAAGCATGTAGTTTGTTTAGTGAATTTAGGCCTAAAAATAAATCGCATGGGAGAGCTCTGAGCTGACATAGTGACCTATCAGCATTAATCATTTATCACATTGAATAAATACCAGCTATTACATCAGTTATTGTTCCACTCTGTCCTTGGTAGCCTAATGTTTGGATAGTTTTGGAAGCTGATACTCCAGCTGCATATTTTTAGAGTAAGCACCTACTGTAAGGAAGCCTTTAGGAGGGGAATGTCTACTTACAAAGTGAGAATTGGTCGGTTTACAGAAGGACAGGTATTTCTAGAGACATACACACCAACCGTTTTTAACTTTGGGGCAGCATAGTGGTGCAGTGGTAAGCACTGTTGTCTCACAGCAAGAGCATTCTGGGTCCGTATCCCCTAGCTGGCTGGGGCTCCTCTGTGTGGAGTTTGCATGTTCTCCCAGTGTCAGTGTGTGTTTGCTCCGGGTTCTAAGGCTTCCTCCTACAGTCTAAAGACATGCAGGTTAATTGATGACTCTAAATTGCACGTAGGTGTGAATGTGAGTGTGAATGGTCATCAAACAATCTGTACATTTACATGCACAGTTAAGTTTAGCTACGGTTATAGCTCAGCTAAGCCATTTAACTGGACTACTGTCCTTGTCCCAGTACACAAACATGGGAGGGGAATCGATTTAATGACCAAAGTGTGTCCAACTGCGCTACAATAGGTGGCCCTTTCAGCTTGTTAGTATAGGACCTTTTTCCAGTTGACAGACCAAACAATCAACAAACAAGTTAGGTACGGTTAGCTAGCAGCAAACTGGAACCATGGTGGACAACTTAACAGCTATGTACATTTTGCCCATCCAAAAATGCACAGCTCTGGATGTAGATTTCTCCTAGGCCTGAACGATGTATCTTTTAAGCATCGCTGTCGCGATGCACATGTGTGCAATATATACATTGCGGAGCTTGCGATGTGGCATGCCCTAATTAAATTAAGTAGGGATGCACCGAATATTCGGTAACCGAATATATTCGGCCGAATATTGCAAAAAAACACACATTCGGTATTCGGTGGAATAAATGAAAAGCAAGGCCGAATAATAGCGGCGTGTTTTGATGACGCAATCAAACAGAATGCGGTGACGGACGGAGTAAAATCAAAGATACTGGATTAAAATGTCGGCAGTGCAGTGATATTTCAAAGTGTTGGAGAGTGATAGAAGAAGAGCAGTTTGCAAAGAATGTAATACTGAACTATCTAGAGTAGTGTTGCAGGGTATATTGGTACCAACGGTAGACTGCGGTACTAAAACACAGTGATAATTTGACAGGAATGTATTCAGGGGGAGGAGGGTGGCTGGTTGATTTTTGGTTGATTTTTATTTTATTTATTTATTTTATTTCGATCCCCCCTATGTTAATCACTTACCGATGCCATTTTTCAAGTATGAATAAGTCAATAAGTAATTTATTCTATTGACATTTCATTGATGTATTATAGAAAGGTGATTTATCTTTTTATAAATGACAAAAGGCACATCTGCCTCATTTTCGCTGTGGTATCATGATTCTACTCAGAACTGGGATACTTTCACTGATATCGTACCGTGGGTCCCAATTTTGGTACCTTGACAACACTAATCTGGAGGGGAGTGTGCACAGTGCTGTGCTGTGGTTTTGGGTGTGGCTCGGTTATAAATGTCTCAGACTCGGGAAAATCGACCCGAGCCACGCTCTAGTGTGTGTGTGTGTGTGTGTGTGTGTGTGTGTGTGTGAGTGCATGGGGCCCTGACTCCGCCGTGTGCAATACAGAGAGCACAGGAGAATTGTAAAGGCACGACCATGTGGAGATAGACATGACATGCCGTCGTGTAAACAATGTAAGTCATCACGTTATAAGGTGAAACATTTCACTGTATAATATGATAAATAGTATAATGTTATGTTGTTATATGAAGCGTCAGTTGCGCGAAATAATATAACTTTAGTTTATGAAGAGATAAGACAGAGCCCTCTCCTCTCCTCTCCTCTTATATGCTTTACTCACAAGTGTGTAAATTGACCTGGTTATGAAACATCCATGACGGCAAATAATATAACGATAGTTTCAAAAGAGCTAAGATGGAGGGAAAAAAAAAAAAATCAGATGGTGGTTTCACTGAACAAATGCCTATTTTCAGCACATTTTATGCTGTTGCTTTCAAAGCAATATCGGCCTAATAATTACAGAATGATTAATTCTCACCAAGTAGAGCTACTGAAGTCATCTGGTGAAAAATAATGCACCCTTAAAAAAATATAAATCGCAATATATATCACTGGGGGCAAAAAAATTGCAATGTCAATTTTTCCCAATATCGTGCAGCCCTAATTTCTCCATGTTGTTACTGGCTTTTTCTTTTGTTACACATTTAATGCTATGTGACTTCCGGAAACTGCAAAGCTGAGGAGCATATGCAGAGCACCAGCCAGTTTGGGTCTGATTGACTGTTTATATGCAGGAGGAATTCCACTCCTAACCGCATTATCTCGGTGTGTTAGTCCAACTATGAGGAATTTGATTTAGTACGATTTCGGTCTGACTAACATGTTTATATGTACTTCAAAAGTCTGGTTTAAGTCGGACTGACACAAATCGATTTTCTCTGTCATGTAAACATACTGAATGTTTGTATGAACAAAACAGCCAGCAGGACGGGATCACGGGCGGCACGGGTGTGACATTTTGATGACGTGTTATGTGTGTGACCCACTGTGGGATATTTAAAAAGTAGCTGTTAGCTGTTAGCAGTGAACTCAAAGATAGAAAAGCTGCTGAAAATGTCTGCAAATAGGGAAAACGGTGAGGTCCAGGAGCACTTAACTGGGGATTCTCACCAAAAGCTTCATGGTCGCCAGCGGGCGCTCTGGTCGCTTTGACATCGCTCACACTGCCAGCTCCAGCAGGCACTTGCAGCAGCCAAAGGGGCGGGGCTGAGCGCTGCAGATGTGTCCATCTAGGCTGACTGGCTGTGCACTTTACAAATATGAACAAATATACTATCATTTATGTCTTCACTATGTATTATTCATGACTTTCATTACACAATTAAAATAACGTAAATAAACACTGTCATATCGTCTTTATGAGTCTTTTATCATTATGATTTTACCCTCCGTTTGGCACGTAGGACCATTGAGAAACGTAATTGGTGGTAAATAAGCAGGAGCTTATTTGGAGGGAAAAAAGTGTAGCCTATATAGCATGCACATCTTCGGTTTCCTCTTTCACCATGGATCGCACTTTCGGAACCCTCCTTTGTATTGCATCGCTGTATATGCTGAGGAAATGTAGGGCTGGGTCCATAGAGTCCTGCAAACCTGGTCTGCAATTGGCTGCTGCTTTGCCAGCGGCGCTGCTCATTTGCATAAAGTTCAGCTTCTCTCAACTTCTACTTGACACTCTGGTCGCTGGCATCACGCCGCTTGCTGCAACCGATGCCCCCGACGCCCTTTGTAGCTAGCGTGCATTGAAAATGAATGGCTACTGGCTGCTTATGACACTCATGAAGCTTTTGGTCGGAATCCACGGTTACCCTCCGTGCAGAGGACGAGATCAGCCGCCAAATAACAGGGACAGTAAATGATTGTTTTTGCTATGTTGTTATTTCATATAAAGTGCTGCTGACATGTACGTTATATGTCACACTAGATGTCGCAACTGTGACGCTTCCTTGATTCTGTGATGCCAGCATGCTGTCTAAAGTCACACATTGGAGCGGAATGATGCAGCCATTGTTTGGTTCTGTGTAAAAATGTAAAGGTGACATGAAGACAGGTTTATGTAACGGCTCTATAGCCTCATTGCTGTGTGTAAAACAGGCTAATATGTCAGCCCTGTGATAGTCTGGTGTTTTGTCCAGGGTGTTTCCTAACTCTTGACCAGTGTCAGCTGTGATAGGCTTCAGCCCTCTTGCAACCCTGTATCAGGATAAGTAGTTACAGATAATTAATCAATGAATGTTCCAAGAGAGGAGCAGGGAAGGGTTGTAATGAATTATTGAGCATTTTTGTAAAAAGCAAATCAGTGAGTCAGAGTTAGTGCTGAAATCTTTATTCAATTGGTGCTTTACACTGTCTGCAACATCACCTGTGCCTTTTACAGATGTCATGTTAACACTTGCTGGTATCCTTAAAAAACAACTTCATTCACATACCTTTCATGAATGAAGAATACCTTTCTATGGTACCAGTTTCCCTAAAGCAAATACATGTCAGAGAAGCAGACATGTCTGATGAAGGGCCTGTGCCCGAAACGTCAGATGACGTGATATTCAGATTAAATCTTGGGAGCTGTATCTCGTGTGTGGACTCAACTTTTTCTACATTGATGCCTCTTTGTGGTCCAGCACCTAGGCTAAGTCTTTTCTAGGATGTGCGTGTCCTTTTGTTCTCTTTCATCTAGTTGTTCCCACGACACTCTAGGAGGCTAGACAGTGATCTCTGGCGTCCCAGAGACACTCCCCTAATGCCAGGTCTCACTGCTCCCCGCACCAACCCGACAACCTCCTTTACCTTACTTACACATGGCTTTCTCAGCCCAAACAGCACTGCCACCTTCAACAAACCCAGGCTCCGTTCATGCGAGCTCCAGGTAGAGACCGTGCTGATACTACCTTTCCTAGCACATTCACCATACTTTATTTCACACGCTACATAGCATAACTCCAACATAAACTAAAATTAAAGGAGATAGATAAACTCACAGGATCAGCAAACACACTCACCTTGCAGCATGGTCTCAAAAAAAGGGATTCAAATAGGCCACTCCCACACTTAAATAACCTTCCTCTTCCTGGATTTTCTCCTGAGAGGACTGATTGGTGGATCTTTCCACCTGATCTCAAGGAGTTATGTACCCTGCTTAGTAGTTCCCCCTGCTGGCCCCCAACTGACATTATTCTTCCTCATCCAAATCCACTGACTAGCTCCGGCTGCTTCATCTGACATTTCCTTCACTGTCTTCCTCAAACTCTGTCCCCGCACTTCGAGTTCCCCCAGGAGCGAGACAGATGATCTTGCTATGAATCCCCTACACCCCACTTCCACTGGACAAATCCTAGTTTTCCATCCTCGCTGCTCAGCTTCTGCTCCTAAGTCTGCATACCTAAGCTTTATTCTTTCATAGTCTTCTTCCACCGAGTCTTCCCAAGGAACTTTCAGCTCAATGAAATAAACTATCCGTTGAGTCACTGACCACAACACTATGTCAGGCCTCTGCTTGGTACAAACTATTTCCTGGGGAACAACAAGCTTTCCCCCTACTAAATCTACTTGCATTTCCCAATCACAAGCACCTTCTAGACGGCCACACCCTTGCCTCCTTACTAACTTATCCCTTATGTATTTATCCCCCTCACGGACAAACTGAATTGCTAAACTCCTATTCTTAAAACCCTCTGAATTTACCTGTCTTCGTTTCCCTTCGATGCCTGCAGCTAAATTTTTCAACACCTGGTTATGTCACCATGTATATCGGCCTTGTGACAAGCTAAATTCACAGCCTGACAAAATATGCTTTAAGGTTGTGGTACCTGAACACAGTGGCCATGATGGGTCCCCATTTACCCACAGTTTTAGGTTCTGGGGGGTTGGTAACACATCGTATGTAGCCCCTACCAGGAATCTAATATGATTCTCATCCATACTCCACAGGTCCCTCCAACTAAGCTTCCTCTTCTCTACACTTTACCAATTCAACCACTGTCCCTGCTTAGCCTGGGGCACTACCTTTGCACCCCTTAATATCTCCTCCTGTCTACGTATCTGTTCCACAACCAGCTTTCTTTTATCTTTGAGACCTGCTTTACTCCATACTGGTTTGCCTGAGCCAAGCCCCAGGACTCCCCGGCCAAACTGAACATTACCTACAATCTCTGCATGCCTAAGAGCTGCCTCTGCCTCCTGAACTGCCGACCTTGGGTTCCACTTCTCCCACTTGGTTGGATTTGGAACTACACTCCTAACTACCACGTCCTTACTCCCAGATAACAAGAGCTCTGTCCTGACCTTGGTACATTTAAATTCCTCTGTCAAACTAGATACTGGCAGCTGAAGTATCCCTTTTCCATACAATGCAACACTACTTAGGCACCTAGGAGCGCCCAACCACTTCCTAATATAGGAGCAATGGATAGCAATGGATATTGGAATTTCATAAATTAATAATGGCCACATTAACCTAGGATATAGCCCAAATTGCAAACACCACAACTTCAACTTTCTTTGAAGTTCTGATTTATCCATTCTATCCAATCCTTCAGCCACATCTTTGATAAATTTCACCACCTGTTCCTCATCATTCTACTCCACATTGTACCAACTACCTAAGCTCTTTACTGACTTTTCCCTAATTGTTGGGTATTCCTCATCACCTATGACAAACTTCCTATCACTGCTTCTAGACTTACTAGGCTTGATCTTCATGCTGGCCCACTTGAGGTTCTCATTTACCTTCTCTAGTAAGCTCTTTGTACATGGCATTGTTGTGGTCACCAGTGTCATGTCATCCATGTAAGCCCTAACTGGTGGAAGATGCAACAAGTTCTGCCGTCTCTCCCCACCTACCACCCACTTAGAAGCCGTGATGATTACTTCCATCGCCATAGTAAATGCTAATGGAGAAATTGTACACCCTGCCATGATGCCTATTTCTAGCCTCTGCCAACCTGTTGTGAAACCTGCCGTACTTAGACACAACCTAATATCCTGAAAATATGCTTTCACTAAGTTAACAACTACCTGTGGCACTTTGAACTAGTCAAACGCACTCCAAATGAGGCTGTGCGGTACTGAACCAAACGCATTTTCAAGATCTAAAAATATTATATGCAGGTCCCTTTTTTAATCTTCGCTGCCTGAATCTGGTGCCAGATCATGCTAGTATGCTCTAAACATCCTGCAAAACCTGGTATTCATGCCTTCTGCACCAAAGTATCTATTAAGCTATTCCTTTCTAAGTAGCTAGCTAATCTCTGCGCTACTACACAAGAAAATCTTCTCTCTCTGACTGGCATACTGACCTCAGTGTCACCTGCATCCTCTCTTACTACCCCCTCCTCCTCCTCAGTGGCAGTGTTACTGATATCCTGCAAACTGTGGTTTTCTACCTGCCGCTGGACTTCATCTGACTGACTCGACTGACTTCTTAGAAAGTACTGATCAATGCGGCTACTCTGCCCTTTCATTGCCACACACTTCTTTTTTCCTTGATGAGTTCTGAGGCCTTTTATTGATGTTACTTTCTGCCAGCCACAAGGACAAACCTGAAGCATCTTGTTCTCGACTGTGCTACTTTTGTCCTCTACAGATGCGCTCACCTTGCCCTGAGTGCTGCTAATTCTAGTCCTTCTAGTTCCTTCACTAAAGGAATACAGTCATAGAAAGCACAAACTACAGAGTTTGTTTGTACAGATTTGATCCCCAAATACCAGAAAACAATTTTAGGAAGAAATTGCAACAAAAATGTATTTAGTCAAATCTATAGTGTAAAATCAGAAGCCTATCTATCCGGTTCTCCTGGTTGCAGAGCAGTCTTCTCTGGGTGTGTTTGTTTTTTTTCTTTTGCTACCATAAATTCAGTCATGTTGCAGTTAAGGTAGACTCAAAGGTGTCTTAGTTTTTTTTTGTTTTTTTTTTTTTACATTGCTTTGGTTGCTAAGGTCTTTACAAGGAGAAAACCAAAAATACCTAAGTGAACATTTTAAGAAAACCTTAAGGAGAAGACTTAAGGGTGTTCTGTGCAACTTATTTTATTTTATTTTATGAAACTTTAACTAGGACTTAAAGAAAATTTTAAATCAAGGTGTTCTGTGCAAGTGGCCCTTGGTTTTAGTCGGACTAACACAGTAAATGGTTTTTCTCTAATGTCATGTAAATGTACTGATTGCAGAGAATGTGTAAGATGGCTCTTGTAATCCAGTAATTCACTGTTCAATGATAATGTGTCAGATAAAAGTGTTACTGTATCTGTCCTGTATGTTATGGTGAGTCTTGCCATGTAGTGACTGATCCTTATCTCTTTTATAGGGGTGCTTTCTCTGTGGTGAGACGGTGCATGAAGATTTCCACAGGGCAGGAATACGCTGCCAAAATAATCAATACCAAGAAGTTGTCTGCCAGGGGTAAGTACATGCTCTGTAATGCTGTCATACAACATGTTGCTGTGTTAACTCTGTTGGGGCTGTGGCAACTGGTTATTCTGGGACCGTATCTTTGTTTAATATTGTTCCTTTTCTAGCAATGTCACCCCAAAAACCACTTTCCTCTTTTTGTGACTATACATGTTTTCTCAAGCCATCGCCATTTTTCTTTTTTTATGTCTGTAGTAGCAAGAGGTGGTCAGGTTTCACATGGTAGCAGCTGTGCACACCACATCTTACTCCTGCAGCTTTAAATTCACTTTCACTTTCACAATTTCATCGCTTTTCACTTTTGTAACTCCACTTATCAAAGTGACACAACATGAAGGAGGCCAGCAGCTCCTTTTGTGACTCATTCTCTGATATCAACCGCAGCCTCTGATTTCTGATGAGCTGTACATGACTCATAGCACTGTCTTTCACATTCAAACACAAGCCAGTGAAGGCACCATGGTGGCAGAATTGGGGGAAAAAACCTCTCTTCACCCTTTTTATTCTCTCCATCATTATCAGTGCAGTGTGGGCCTAGAACCCTGCTGTCTGGATGTTGGATCGCTGATTGATCTCCACGCAAGACCCTAATGGGCTGAAGGGAGAGTTCACAACACACAAATCCACAAACAAAAGGAGATGAAAAGGTTCACAGTGATGGTGAGCGATCGCACAGTGGCAGCAGATGTAGTGTCTCACTTGGAAAGCAGGGGGGTTTCCTCACAGCTGCTCGAAGAAAAGCCAAGAGGGGGAGTACATATGGCTTTAAAAAGAGACTATCCATACAGCTTTTCTGGATGGTTCAGTGATACAACAAGATCTCTGATCATTCTTAGCCAATGTGGTGAAAAACTGAAAGCTTCAATGAGAAAGCTTGTGGTTCCTGGGTCTAATTATTGGTGCTGTAGCTCCAGAGGTGAGGGGAGAACATGAGTGATGAAAGGAGGAGTGCAGAAAGAGGAGGGCAGATGTTTATAGAAAGGGAGTCCATGATTGATTCCATGCTCAGATTGCTTTGGCTGAATGCCTTCGCTGAGCCTGAGCCTCTTCCACCTGAAGGGGAAAATGAGAGTGAAAATGGAAAGATGAGAGAAGGTGTATGTGTATGTATGTGTGAAAGGCCATGAGAATGGTTGACAGCATAGTTGTTCTGGTGTTTGTACCAAGGGTTTGAGTTATCAGGTAGCTATTTTTAATTTATTTGAATTTTGACCAGGAAAATCTGTTAAGGTCTGAACATATTTAAATCACTCCGGTCTTAATGTCCATTGAAAATAACTCCTCCTCAGAATATGTAACATGTAACAGTAACAGAATAAAGCAGGATTTATACTTCTGGTTGAATCGATGCCTGCCTACGGCGTAGGCTCTATGTTGATGCAGAGCTTGTGCTGTAACCTACGCCGTAGCCTGATGTGCACCTCCCCTGAAATGTAACTACATGTCGCAGCGATGCAGACCTCCTGTTTATTTTTGTAAGCTGAAAAACATTTCCCTCAGTGGAACCAAAGCTTTTATTTACTTTTATTTCACAGATAAGAAACAATAAATTGAAAAGACAATACAGCCCTCCCAAAATAGTGTTTAAGTCCTGTGTGTGATTTACCCTGGCTTCATTTAAGCAGAGGAAATCTTTGCTAGTCGCTAGGCAAATTTATACAGTGTAAAATGCCATAGTGTTGTGCTAATAAAGTTAGCATGCTGTATTTGTTTGGAAAATGTGTTTAGTATAAGACAGTGGTTTTGTTGGTGAACCTTGTGAATTGTAATGGAACTGATTGTTGTAACATTACCTTTGTTAAATGTTGCTGTTGTTTCAGGCTGTATATGAGTAGAGGAAATCTCTGCTAGCTGCTAGGCTAATTTGTATAATGTAAAATGCCATAATAAAATTAGTATTCAATTCAATTCAATTCAGTTTTATTTATAAAGAGAGAGAGAGAGAGAGAGAGACTGGTGTATCATAGGGGGGTCCTCCGGCAGACTAGGCCTAAGTCAGCCTAACTAGGGGCTGGTACAGGGCAAGCATGAGCCAGCCCTAACTATAAGCTTTATCAAAGAGGAAAGTCTTAAGTCTAGTCTTAAATGTGGAGACGGTGTCTGCCTCCCGGACCGTAACAGGAAGATGATTCCACAGGAGAGGAGCCTGATAGCTGAAGGCTCTAACTCCTGATCTACTTTTGGAGACTTTAGGGACCACGAGTAACCCTGCGTTCTCAGAGCGCAGTGTTCTGGTGGGGTAATATGGCACCAGGTAGGTGGTAGTATGTTGTATTTGTGGAGAAAATGTGTCTAGCAAAAGACAAGTGCTTTGGCTGTGAATCCTGTGAGTTATAATGACGCCGATTTGTGCACTTGTTGAAATTGCCTCTATCAAGGAGACTTGCACTGATTACAGTTTTTTGGGCCGATTCCGATTTGCAGAGTGCTTCGACGGCCGATTCCGATTTTGGCCGATTCCGATTTCATTTTTTTCAAACCACTTTACAGCACACAAGATACTGCAATATTTTCTATCTTTCAGATATCCGATCTTTGCGATAGGTCACCGCACTCGCATTTGCGACTAAAAATAGTTTTGTGCAAGCAAAACAAATCATTCAGCACGCTGTGTGAGTATGGATTTCAACCAGCAGCAGAAACGAAAGGCGAATCCCGTCGGTTGTGGGTTAAACGGGGGTCACAGACACAGACAGGAATGTATTCCTGTCAAATACGGCGGCCATAGTGCTCTGCGGCGCAAGATAAGGCTTACCGGCGACGGAGAAGTCCGGCTCCAATAATGTCCTCTTCTTGATGTCATGACTGCCCAGAAGTACCTGGACAGCCGAGCCATGGCAGCACACAGGTATGTGACGTGTCAGAGGAGAAACGAGCCGTTCACATTACTCTCTTTGTGGCAGGTAAAGGTCCGCAAACCTCACCGCACTTCAGGGACTGTTCTTTACTTGTCAGGGGAGGAGGGTGGCTGGTTGATTTTTATTTTATTTATTTTATTTATTTCGATCCCCCCTATGTTAATCACTTATTGATGCTGTTTTTGAAGTATGAATAAGTCAGTAAGTAATTTATTCCATTGAAATATCATTGATGTATTATAGAAAAGTAATTTATCATTTTATAAATGACAAACGGCACATCTGCCTCATTTTCGCTGTGGTATTGTGATACTACTCAGAACCATGATATTTTCACTGGTATCGTACTGTGGGTCCCAATTTTGGTACCGTGACAACACTAATCTGGAGGGGGTTCATCTGCAAAGACTAATGAAAAACTAAACAACGGCATTCGGTATTCAGTACTCGGCCAAGCGTTTAATTTTATTTGGCTTCAGCTTCGGCCACAAATTTTCATTTCGGTGCATCCCTAGTGGAATAGGCATTGAAACAAGTTTGAAATAACAGAAAACACCTTGACACTGAACCTGTGGTTGAGACAGGACTCCAGTACTACAGCTCTGCAGTGATTACAATATTCTCAAAACTGTTACAAATAATGGTCAGAAGTATGAAATCTATGAGACAGAATCATTTTAGAAGTCACTTGGGGTGATATATCGATTATACTCAATGTATTGCAGCTCCAAGTGGGATGTATAAAATGACTATATTGCAAACAAAGTATTAACTGTCACATCATTTTTATTTTTATTTTTTCAAGCCATCACCATGACACTAAGGTGTTTCTCGCCCAAGACTTGCAGGGTGCTTCAGAATAAAAGCACCAGCGGTTTCGCTTTGATTTATTTCTTACATCAGTAATTTATTTACTTTATTATAACAGTACTTTATCTAACTGTATTATAACCCTTTATTGTAACAAAACTTTATTAAATTTTATTATAACAATATTTTATTTAACTTTACTGTAACGGTACGCTATTTAACTTTATTATAATAGCTATTTTTAACTTCACTATAACAGTTTGTTACACTTTGTAACACTTTGTTTATTCTAAGTACTTTATAATTAGTACTTTATATAACAGTACCTTATTTAACTTTATTATAACAACTTTATTTAACTTTACTATAACAGTCTGCTATTTAACTTTAATATCAATACTTTGATTTAACTTTATCATAACTACTTTAACTTTATTATAACAGTACTTTATTTAACTTCATATTTTATAACAATTCTTTATAAACCTTCATAAAACAATATTTTAACAAAATTTATTAGAACAATACTGTATTTAACTTTATTATAACAGTAACTACTTTATTTAATTTCATTATAACAATTCTTTATTTAACTTTATTGCAACAGTCATTTATTTAAATTTATTAGAACAGTACCTTATTAACTTAACAGTAACAGTAGCTTGTTTAGTAGTTTAGCATTTTAGTCATCCTATAGTTGTTTAGAGGAGATGTCAAAATATTGAGATGTATATTGTGTATTGTGATATAGCCTAAAAAATATCTCAGTATTATTTATAGGCCATAATGTACAGCCCCAATGTCCCTATTTTTTATTATGTTCCTACTACAGACAGATACAGTAGTTTACTGTTTGACCAGTTGAAAGATATTGCAGCAGGCAGGCTGAACTGAAGGTCACATTCAATGAGGGGAAACCCCAGACTCCCTGCCAATGCTGCTGCTGTTGCTGTGTTATGAAAAAACCTAAACAGGAAGCTCCATCTAATTGGAGAGGCCGTAAACCTCTGGCTTCACACCAAATGCAGTTCACTTCCAAGGGATGTCCACGTGACTCTACTAAAGCTTTCATAAAGTACAACATCAGGAAGAGAGTGTATTTATCCTTTATTTAGCTGGAAAGGTCCCATTAATATATAAGACCTTTTACGCCAGGGAGTCCTGGTTAATCCTGACAGTCTCTACTTCTAGAAAGTACAGAGTCGTATCCTGTGAGAGTGTGTTTGTGCCATCACTTGAAATATACAGAATATTTAGTTGGATTGAGAGCAGCATTAATGTAACTCCTTTAGTTTATTTTTACTCTTACCCTAACCCTGTAGT